CATTCATACTTTTTTATGGCGGGTGAAAAATGCTAATAGAAGGATTTCCATCTATCTCTCACATATTTTAGTCGAACCATCTTGATAAGCTTCTCAATTTGAACATTAGAAATTTGGATATCAATTTATAATATTAATGGCATGAATGGTGAATAATGCAACAATTAATCCGTAATTTAAGATGCTAAATAAAAATCATATTGTTTTACAAATGAACATGAAAAATGATAATTCTATGGCATCAATCATGATATGATTACCATTAATTAATATGATCCACCTGAACAATAATAAATCAAGCATTTCTTATTACAAATTTCAAAAGTACTTTGAGCTTGGTCTGGCTTGTTGATCATGGTTCGAGACTCTTCAGGCTCCCAAAACATGGGAGTCCACAAATCCTAGATTTAAAAGATTCTAGAGCACCCATGCGCTCTATTCATTGTACAAGTTTGAGCTTTTGGTCTCAAATATACATCTCCCGCATAACCTTACATTGTTTATCATATTTTTTTCTAGGATTAGGATTTTAAATCATGGTTCTTGAACAAAATAACAAATATAACTCGTACGGATAAATTCTTTGTAATTCAAATGAGCACAATTTGTGAATATTTCGAGATGGCATCTAATTCAGTCTATGCTTTGGTAACAAAGGTGGTGTTCGTCTGCCCTATTCAATTGACGCTTGATTATTTTCGTTGTCATTCATAAGAGAAAAACCTTTTGAAATATCATAACTAAATCGTATGGTTCTGATTTCTTTTCCATCTTTAGTAAAGGCTTAAATATTGAAATTGTTTGATTCTCTTAACTATTAGATGCGTAATGCATATTAACCATTTGAAAGTTCAAACCATCAATATTTAGATATTATTGTTGTTTTATTTCTTTCTGAAAAGCACAGGACAACGCCCCTCTCATTGTGTGTGGACCATCATATTTTGCACGGTACAATGCCCCTTATGGCAGTTGCCATTATGTGGTCATCTGCCTCAATGCCAGCCCACTATTGAGTCAAGCACTGCGATGGTTCCCAATGAGTATCAAGAGCTATATAAATTATTTTCCAAGTGTCTTCTATTTCATTTTCTTTTTATTTAATTAAACTGAAACATTTTCATTTTCTATTTTTTCTTTGTACCAATAAATAATGGCTACTCATTCCTCTCCATGGACGACAACAACAAAAATGCTTATATTCCCTCAATCCTGGGCTCCCTTAAGACTAAGGGTTACGATATGAATTCAATAAGATAGTTGAAAAACATTTATTCAACCTTTTAATTGATGATCCATTTGTGGTAATTGCTTTTTTGTAAAGGTTGTTGTAAAGTTATTATGAGCATAATTCTTTTAAAAATTATTTTGGGTACTATAAATAGTTTCTTTTTTAAAAAGTCTAAAAATATCTCTCTTATTGCTATCAAACACTAATAGATGTGTTTGCAACCCAACAAAATGGAGTTGATTGTACTAGAGAATAACCACATAGTTGCTACTAGAAGGGCTCTTTATATTTTCAAAGAATGCTAAAAATAATATTAAGAGGTGACTATTTTAACCACCATTCACGACATAAACTGATTATCCACAAGAGTTCTTAGGTAAAAGTCCTATCTAAGTCCTAATCAAATTAAGTCCATTTAAATAATCTTGTTCCTAAAATAGCTGGTGATATTGCATTTTTATGCACTCATCTCCAAAATAGTGGATAATTTTATCCACACGGTATTAAATCTATCTTCATTGGATATTCTCCCATTTAGAAGGGTACAATTATTATCACCCCTACAAGAAAGGTGTATGGGTGCACAGATGCCACATTCAATGAAGAAGATCAATATTTTTTTATACCAAAGTTAACCCAAACCTCAATAGGGAAAACACATTTTATTACTCAAAAGCAAATATGGTTACAATAAAAAACACTTGGAACGAGGAAATAACAAATACACAACACAAACTCAAACTAGGGCTTAGGCCGAGGTTGGTATTATCGTGGTTGGAGGGAACGTAGAGGGTAGTGATGGCTAGAGAACAAAATGACAACAAGCGGAGGATTGGGGAAGTGGATTGAGAAGGCGGCTGGATGATGACTACTAGATACCAGCAGGGAAGGGATGAAAGGTTGATGGTGGGTTTCCTGTCGGGAAGGGTGAGGTTCAATGGCAGGAAATGCCACAAATTAATCCACAGATAATCGGGTAGGGGAAGGCTGAGACAACACAACAGTGAGTGATGAATGGGAGAATTGCGGCTAAAGGGAAACCATCCTTTAGGCTACCAGGTGACTACAGGTAGGAGGGTGAAGGGCAACAACAATGAGGAGGTTGCAAGAGGAGTAAGCGGAGGATAATCACTACCATAGAGTAAGATACAACCCAAGCATCACTCTTCCTCGAATACAACCCTAAGAGGGAAAGCAGAGGATATCAACTATACTGACAGAAAACACGACAAAAAACTGACCTAAAACATGAAAGCAAAATATAAATAATACTATGTAATTAAGCTGGGGCAACACCGCTACTAATTGGTAATAACCCTAAGTACTAGGGCCGGCCGACCCCTTTCTTCCCAGCTAAACTGGTTCAGTTGCCCCAGGCCCGGTTTAGCCAGAGAGAAGCCCGTGTCAATTTTATTACCACTTATTCTCAAAATAATTATTGTTCACAGATCATAAAGACATATTTCCTTGTTGCTTGCCCTTTTCTTCCACTGATCTTGGTTAGCAACTCTTTTTTAAAGCAATTACTTCTGTAATCAATCTATATTCAATGATACCGGATATCTTTCATACCTAAATTGAGCACATATTTGAACAAAATTCTACTCATTTACTACAAGTGTACTCCAAAGTAATGGTATCAATCTCTAAATCTATGTAATCCACCCAAGCAAATCAATCCTTGTCCCTGAACGCATTAAGGGAATTATTGGCTAGAACTTTTTCTCATATTAATCCAACCAAGCAAATCAATCCTTGTTATACCATATGAAACTTTTTCTCATAGTCGTCAAACCTTGCTTACTAACCTACATACCATTTTTACTCTTAAAATAATCTCCGAGACATCTGTGATAAGAATTAGAAAATATTTTGGTGGAATTGAATGCTTTTCAAACAAATAAAACATGTAGATTGATAAAATTATCAATGTGAAAGAAAACTTAGTGGATTGTAGATGCATATTTATTTTAAAATACAAATTATTTTGTTCACTATAAATATATGAAGCTAGATTTGTTGCCAAAGGCTATACTCAAATTTATGTGATTGGTTACCTTGAAACCTTTGCTTTGATTTTCAAAAAACCTTTGCTTTGATTGCTAATATGAACATTGTTCAAGCTCTTTTATCTTTAACAATTAATATGGACTGAAAATATAATAATTTGATGTTAAAATGTCTTCTTATATAGTGTCAGAGGGAAAATTTTATGCATAGGCTACACCAGGGTTTGGTTCAAATACAAAACAAACAGTGTGGGTTAAAAAGGCATTTATCTAAAAGTCTAATTTTGAAGGTTGTTAAGGTAATGCTTAACATGACATATAAATATAGTAAAAAATGCCGTATATTTTTTGTCGCATAGCTTTTGGGAGTGTATCAAAATTATTTGTTTATATTGATGAAAGTGCAATGACTGTGGTGATTTGAAAGGATTGATTGCTCAAAGAAAATTTGAACTTAAAGAATTAAAACAAATTTAGTATTTCATAGGTTCTTAGGTTGCATGTTGTTGGCATAGAATTTTTAATATCACAACAAAAATACATAATAAAATTGTTGAAAGATAAAAATAAATTAGGATGCAAGCTTGTTGGGAGCCCTATAGAATTCGATCATAGAATTGAAGATGTTTTATAAGATAGTTGTAGAAAAACTTCTTGTCAAAGATTTATTGGACGACTTGTATACTTTCCACATGCCAGACTTGACATCTTATATCACACTGTCAGTGTTATATGTCAATTTATACATAATCATTAAGAATTACTTGTTATGACTTTGTATGTAGTTTTACAATATTTGATGGGAACTCTATGGGGAAAAAAAAACTATTTTCGTGAAGAGTAAAGATTTTACACGTGCAGCATTCATAGATGCCGGTTATGCGAGATCTATGGTAGGGTGAGATCAATTTTGGGATATTGCATATTTTTAGGAAACAATCTCAAGACTTAGAGAAGTGAAAAATAAAAAATGGAAGCAAGATCTAGTGCAAAAAATTGAATTTTAGTCTTTGACACTTCAATTATGTGAATTGCTTTGGTTAAACTTATCTTAGAAGACTTAAATGTTGAATGAAATGATCTTATGAGGTTCTATTGTGATGACAAGTTAGACATCAATATTGCATATAATCCCATGCTTGATGCAACATAGTTGTACAAAACAATTTCTAGATATTTTATAAAGAAAAAGTTCAGTCGTGGTCTAATTTGTGCCTCATTCTTAATCGTGAGTGATCGACTTGTCGACATACTCACAAAGTATTTTTGTGTGCAAATTTAAAAAATATCAAACAAGCATGGAATGGATTGTATCTATTCATTTGCTTGATAGGGTGTGTGAAAATGATGGATACACCATCGCCTCACTATGTTTAAACCTTTGCTTTGCACAAGACACCCCGACATTCATATTAGGTGCCACCACACGAGCAACTGCGTCTTAGAGCTAGTTGTCATTGCACCGGATCTCTGACCCTTATTATGCATGGGGACTGTCGCCTCCTCATCAATATTGGGTACTTGCCATCTCACCTATTGCTGTACATAATGCATGGATGAGCTGTCATTTTAATTTCAATATTATAGATTTCTTATTGTAATAATTTTGTAATTATTTCCATCCATAATTTTTGGTCACTGATTATGCATCCTTCTTATTAGATATGATTTTAGGATTGTATTATTTTGTTACATACACTAGAATAACAATGTTTTCTTTTAGTTGTTTCTTTATATATTTGAGTACTACTTCTCATCTCATTTTTTATGTAGAACAAGGGAATAAAATACAATCATACAATCTCTCATTTTAATTTTCAATATGTAAAGGATTAATTGCTCGTGGTAACTCTAGGATAGTCTACATAAAATAGTAAAGTTTGTTTACCCTCTGACGCGGTGCATTTGCGTCTAGGATGCCTGAATTAGGCTTCCACACCCATCGCACCTGGACTAGTTCAATCCACGCTTCTGATGGGTCGGGCGGCCTTCCAATGTTGGGAATTGACGACCAATTGGAGTGAGGCCCACTCCTGGTTATATTCGGACTATCTATTTGCTTTTGGAGTGTTTAGGGTTTAGTTTTTGCTGTGCCGTCAACGTCTCTTTTTCCTTGACGGGCTGTGTTCTAGGGTTCCAAGTGGTGCTCTAGCTAAATCTTGATCTACAGGTGGTGTTTATCATTATTATACCCTTACCCATCCTTCTGCGCATCTAGCCCCTTCACCCTTGCATCTCCTCCATTGCTGTCGCTCCCCAAAAAATAGCAGACCTGCTGTTTCCCATCCAACCTTGCGCCGCCACTCAAGACAGCACCCAACCACCGTCCTTGTTGCATACTGTTCCCCCCTTGCTTCTGCCACCCCCTGTTGCCACGTATCCAGAGGTCCAAATCCCTAGCTGGAAACACCTCCACCTTATATCTAACCCAAGCTCTAGTGTTGTGCGTTGTTTTGGTTGCAAGTTTAGAATTTCACGTTGTTTTTTTTTTGTAATTTTAGATTTGAATTCAGTAATAATATTTGTTTTCCATTAGATATTGTTAAATTCCGGTATCACCTTCTTGATAGACTTTTCACTTTGAACATTAGGCCTTATTGCTAATATATCTAGAATAAAGTTATCAACAGGGTACCACCAACGATCACTTACATTTATGATATGAAGTATAAGCTACCATGTTCGATAAAATCAATGCAGCAATCATAACTTATATAGTGATTTTAAGTTACTTCGGAATTTATGACATCAAATATATAAATATCTCACTTATGCAACGGTTACTTCACAACTTAAGATGTTAAATAATAATCACATTGTTTCACAAATAATCAACAAGACAATGAGGTTTTTCTATTATCAATCATCATATGAATACTAATAATTAATTTGATTCACCTAAACAATAAAATATCAACCATTTCCTATTGCTTATCTAGTTATGTAAAAGGATTGCTATATGACATAGAAGCAGTAGCATATCGCTTGTGAAACTCGAGTGCTGTACATGCAATACATTGGGCTTGTCGATTATGGCTGGGTTCTCTTCTGGTTCTGAACACATAGTAGTCTACAAATACTAGAGTTGAGAGATTCTGGAGCAGAGCAGAACCTCAAATATTCATATTACACATAACCTTAAGCTATGATATTATCATATTATTTCTAATTTCAAAATTTAGTGTGGGTTTCTAAATAAAGAAGCAACAGGCTGCTCATATGGATAAATGTTGTGAGACGACAACTAATTTACTTTTTGGTTTGGTAACATGGACGTCATGTTGTTGCCCCATTTGAGTAACGCTTGCTATTTTGTTTGTCATTTGTGAGAGCTTTTTTTAACATTATCATTCAATCATATGATTCTGCATTTATTTTCCATGCTCTATGAGGTTTAGATATTTAACATTTTATTTTCTGTTCCTATTTTAGAAGCATAATCCATATTGTCAATCCCTTGAATTTTTACACCTTTAAAGGTTTAGATATTGTTGCTGCCCTTAATATCTTTTTTTAAGCTATTCTGTTGCTAGTTGAGTTATTTAAGCTCTGTTTCTTACTGAACTTGAACTTCACTGCATTAAATTTATTTGACCGCGATCAACACCAAATTATACAATGGAGGATAAGGTTTATTGCAATACTCAATCTCTGATAGTGACACAGGATGATTGCCGACCCATCCTTCCTCTACAAATTAATATTGGAGCAGGTCACCACTATAGGCAGTACTGTTTGGTGGGAGTTAAAGAGCCGCAAAGGAAGGTGGGTTTTCCCAATGGAAATTTGTAGTAGAGTATTTAATGCTGCAACTTATTAATTATGATACGGTATACTGTATCCAGGATCAAAGAAGAGTGGGATTTGGCATTTATCAATGTTATGACAGTAGCTGCCTGCAATGCTTTCATTGTCTGGTCACTTGCGCCTTGCCGTTCATATGGGAGCACCTTTCGGTTTGACTTGCAAAATTCAATACAGAAGCTCCCTAATAATATCTTTGAGAAGAGTTATCCCATGAGAGAATTTGATTTACACAAAAGAATTCACTCTTTCTTTTATAAGGCTGCAGAGCTTTGTTTGGTTGGGTTAACTGCTGGATCAATTCAAGGTTCTTTGACGAAAGTTGTTTCTTCAAGGAAAGAGGGAAGGTTAGTACGTAACATAGTGCCATCGTTTGTCTTCTTGTACGAATCTTCTATTCATTGCGGAAAATTCTCAGTTTTTTACCGGCTAAAAAGACCTTACTACAATTTTTGTGATATTGAATGGATAGGTTATCAGTGACCATTCCATCTCTGAAAAACTATGCTCTTGGCTACGGGGCATTCTTAGGGCTTTATGCAAACTTGCGCTATCAGTTAATATGTGGGATTGACAGAGCTATGTTCGATCGCTTTGATGTTCTGGGTGTTGCGATGTTCTTCGGCACCGTATTGAGGTAGGAAATTCCCTATTTTTCAAGTCCTTTTTTTTGTTTGACATGTTATTGAGCCAGTACTCAGTTTTCTTTTTCTTTTATCAGTTAAATCCATGTCAGGTTTGTGCTAATTTAATCTTTCTTGCTGTATTTGTATTCGTAATCTTTTTATGTAAATTTAAAAACACTTAGCATATGTAATTCAACAACTTCCCAAAATTGAAGAAGCATTTTGTGAAATCCGAATGGAAGGAAATCACAGAGAATAACGTTTGTTGCTTACAAAAATACCCTCATCATTGTACAATCTGCTTGCTGTCAGGAGTCTAAAGCAAGACTAGGATGGCATGTAAAGAGAGGTGATTTTTTGTGTCATGTTTGCAAAAGGACTAATCACATAAGAAAAATTTATTAGAACTTCACAACAATCCAATAAATCACTACAATCTTGCAAAGCATTATGAAAACACCTATGCTTATTAAATTTAAAGTGAGGGATTGAAGATAAAAAGTAGTAGAAATATGGGCATTATTTCGTTAAACAGCGGGCATTTGAAGCTTCTATACACAGTGCTTACTCCTGAAAAAGCTGTTAGCTCCTCCCTTTTAGCTAAAAAAATTTCTTTTTATGCTCTTAATTGTACCAAGGCCATGACCATCGATGACCCTATTAGGACAGTAGATGTTTTAGATTTAAATTATGTTAAGAAAGGTAGAGACGGACCGACAAAGACTTGGGCATGTTGTAATTATTAGAACGGGCATGTTGTAAAAAAATAATCATAATTTATTAGAACTAAATGAAAATATGACACTCAATAGAACACAATGGAGAAAAAAATCCATGTAGCCAACTCCACTTGGTGGGATAAAGGCTTTTGTTGATGTTGTACTCTTAATTGTACAAAGGAAGGTCAAGAATCTTATATTATTAGCTCGGGAGCATCAAACCACGTCTTTTTGTGCTCCTTTAGTTTTCTCATGTACTGCTCTCAAAATTGATGGTGAATCATTATTATTTATTGTTGGGATATGAATAATTAAAATTAATCCTTAGATTTATCTAAATTCTTATATGTTTAAATTTTTTCTTGCAACCTCTTATCTTCTAGCAATAGAGCAAATGATTGCATATGTAAATTTTCAGTCTTATCAAAATCTTGTGAATTTCAGGACCAGTGATCATAGAAAAGGATTAGAAATCATATAGAGGCCAGCAGTCTATTCAATTTTGATAAAGATTCCAAAGAAAGTTGTCATGCTTTTGATTTCAACAAAGACCTTTCTACCTTCAAAAAGTCGATCAAGTTATGATATTATAGGTTAATTCGTCCTATTTTTACTTGCTGTAAAAACCTTTTATGATGAAAATATTTTTCAATGCGCAGTGTCAACTTGCCAAACAACAAAATATGAGAACTAAAGCTATCTAAAAGCACAATTTTTTTTTTCACTTGTGCATAGTGACATTTAGTTTCCTTCTAAATCTCAAAACTTTCTCTTAATGATTGTTCATCACTTTTATTGATGATCATATTTGAGTGTGTTGGCTATACTTGTTAGAAGATAAATCTAATGTAGAATATTGTTTCAAAAATTTTATAATATGGTTAGTCAAATCCTCCACTCTGATAGAGATACGAAATATTTTAAACACATTATGGTTACCTATAGCATAATGATATTATTCATCAAACTCCTAGCTCTAACACTCCTAAACATAATGAAATGCTTGAATGAAAAAATAGTCATATATTAGATGTAGCTAAATCTATTATGGTTACTACTAATACTTTTAAATATTATTTGAGTGCTTTCCATTTTATGGGCGGGCTACTTATGAATGTACTGTAGTTCAAAAATCCAATTGGTTTGCTTTGAAATGCTTTCCTAATACGCATCATTTCTAATCTTCCACTTAAAGTCTGTGAATGCACTACATTTGTCCACACTCATGAAGTTAATAGAAATAAATTTGATTCCAAAGACTACAAGTTTATCATTCTTGGTAATGAGGAAAATGAGAAGGTATGCAAATTTTGTTTTATTATTATTAAATATAATATTTGTATCCATAGATATGAACTTTTTTAAGATTTTTTTTTCCCAACACATTCGCTTTATGGGAAGATAAAAAGTTTTAATATTTTTTCCTCAGAATTTCTCCAACCCCCTTATACCAACACCATTCCATGACAATGAGGTTACCTAAACTTCTGTTCACTCATCCAAAATCACCCCACTGAACTATGTGTTTACTTTTGCAAGAAGAATCTACAAAATGGTGAAATCATTCTACTTCTCAAAGCTTGTCATGAATTTTATTTTTGCTGGATAAATTTTCAAACTCCTTTTTTGTTACGGTACTCGGCATCCTATAATAAATGTTGAGGGATGGATGGGGCAATCTATCCTTGAAAAGAAACTTGTTCTTCAACCGTGCATGGAATGTAATTTTGAAGATGATAAAAGATGCTTTTAAATACTCTATGAATTTGAGGTTCACAAAGCTACGAGTTAACAAAGGTCCAAATTGGCTTACTTTGATCACTTCCTATTCTATAAACACAATGATATTCGTCTATCATACTAATTATGTATATTAATGACATCTTTGAACTTTTAGATTTTAAGTTTCAGCAAACATTAAAGGCTGGCTGGTGACACTAGAACTTAAATCAGCTTTCATTTCTTCATAGCTTTTATTAATAATTTATCATCCTTCTTGAACATGTCCGACCATTTTATGAAGCCATCATTCATCTTCTCAGGAGCCTTTTTTTTTTTTTTTTTGGAACATCCCGAAGTATCTGAAGCCTTTTTCTTAGAAAGATTGGCATACATACCACTCGATTCTTATGTATATCTAACACACACCTAAACTTCAATTTATCAGGTGTACTTCACTTTTTAAAAATTAAAATTGTGGTCTTTTTTATGTGATTTGAAATTGTTGGGTGATATAAATATATATATCAAAGTTTAGGTGTTAGATATGTAAATACATATAGGAATGGGTGTTATGTATGTAGATGCCCCCTCAGAAGAAACATTCAAGTTACTGAAACGCATCTTTCAGGGTTTTGAATATTCATATTGGGGAGACTTCCAGACTTGCTTGGCTAGGAATCGAAGCACATCCACTCCTTCATTCAGATACTCTCCTCAAAGCCTATATCAGGCCATCAGATCCTGCTGTCAACCAGCCATCTTCAAACTGGTTCATCTCCAAGGATGCCATTATTTCTGGTCTCGGATTACTCGGTCTCGGTCAGAAAGCAGGAGATTCACCGCCTTCGAAACCTCGGAGGAAGCGAATTTTAAAGAAAAAGGTGAGCCGAAGCTCGACGTAGAAATCAGTTTCAGAATTTTTGAGATTTCTTCCATGATATTATTGAGCTTGAAGGGAATAAATTAGAAGCACGAAGGCTGTTCTGCTTTTTTTTTTGTAGAGCTGCATTAAACAAGGTATCCAGCTTTGCCAATTTTGGCTTATTATTTATTTTTTAGCTTAGCAGTTGTAGTTCTCTGTCTATATTTTCCAACTACGTATTGACAGTTTTATATGCTGAGGATTATTTCATGATTAGATGATCTAAATTTTTGTGTCTGTGGCAGTATTCATGAACATTTCCAGCTTTGGTTGAGCATTAATTGTAAGAACATATGGTTTAGTATTTTCTTGATTGATATTTTTGAAATAAACCAATAAATGTTTCTGATTGGTTATGTTTGAGTGAATGAAAAATGTGATCTAGTTTTAGTTTGATTGTAAGTTTTGCTTTTGGGAGATTTACATAAATGCCATGCTATTCCTACGAATTTGCATTCCAACACCTAAATTTTGATTTTTACATGTATAACTTTTTTGTATCTCAATCACATGAAAGCCTATTGTATGAAAATGTGTATTTCAGTTCGGAAAATATTTGCGTACAGAAGACGTACGCAGCGCTGCGTATGTCCAAAGGTTATTCAGGGGTTACAGAGGGGTATAAATAAAGTTACAAATGAGTTCCGCGCTTCTGTAGTTTCATGAGTACAAATAAGTTACACAAATGTTACAAGGGAGTTACACGGAGGTTACAGGGGGGTATACCCCGGATATAATCCCTTTGTACCCCCTGAATAACACTTGACGTACGCAGCGCTGCGTACGTCTTATCCACACAAATATTTTCCTTTCAGTTCAGGAGAGTTAATATTAGTGATCTTTACTTAGACTCTCTACCATTAGGTGACTTTCAGCTTCTGAAATCTGAAGCAAAATTTAGGACATGAGTGTGACATTTACATACATACCACAAAATTTCCATGAATTTGCATGCTAATTAATCCCTAAACCTTAATTTTTATGTTTATTGCACTCAAATCTTTTGTCATATAAAAAATACCATGATTACCAAATTTTATAAAGTGAAATGCAAGGTAGAGTGGTATAAATGCAAAAAATTAAAATTTATGTGTTATATATGTAAATATATCAGAGTTGTTTGGTAAATTTGTAAATTTTCCGATCCGTTGATTGGATCGCCATAGTATTTGTAAAATTAATTGTGGAAAATATTTTGAATTTTTTTTTTTAATGTTTGTGGAAATTATAACTATTTTTTTAATAGAGAAAAGGCCAGATAACTCTATAATACCTTTCAGCCTTTCACATTACAAATGTAGTTGTGAAAATCATCTTATCACATACATTTTTATTAGCACGATGAGAAATATAGCAACAAAACAAAAACAAAACAAAAGGAGATGTGGACTCAAACATCATCTTTCAATTTATCAAAGACTTATTTGTAAAATTGTTTGCATTAGTTGGGATTCGAGGAGCAAGCGAACTGAGCTGGCTTGAGCTCGACCTGTTAACGAGCTTGCCAGTCAAGTTTATAGAGCCATGAGCTTGAGCTTGTTGAGGCTGAACTGGTTGGCCGGTAAACCGACTCGGCTAGCCAAATGTTATAATACTCAGCTATCCCACACAATACACTGTTACGTAAACTAAATTATAATAAAAATAAACTACACATAACTACAATACATTAGCCAGGTGCACTATTAATACATACATAAGTAATATAAATCCGTACTATTCATCATAATTATAAAAAATATTATTATTTCTATTGTAAATTATATATGAAAAAGCTGAAAATTAATTGGTATATACGTAAATCTTCCTTAAAAATTATTAATTTGAATCCTCCATGTGCAATTCCAGCCCAAGGACATTCCAAACCCCAACACCCACATTATCATCCCTCACCTTTTGTCAAAAGCATTCAAGCAAAAGCCAACCACGCCTCCCTCCTCACCTTTCCCTTCATTTGCGCCTAGAAATGAGCTCCCCAACATCACTACATAACCTTTATTTACCACACACTTGTGGCTAGAGAACTAAAACAAAGAGGGTGGGTTGGAGATGATCAAATGGAGGTCGAAGAAGCTCTTCGAGAAGAGTTCTAAGGCCGACGGAAGAGCCAACCGTCGTCGTGAGATTCAGTGGGAGTTGCGGCCTGGCGGTATGTTGGTTCAAAAGAGGGAAACCGACGAAGGCGATGAAAACAAAATGATGATCAACGTGAGGATCCCCACCGGCTCGCAGTGGCACGATATCATCATCGATGCCACCGCAACGTTTGGTATGTCTTCGTAATATGGGCTTTTTGTACTTTACGATAGAATGATGATGATGATGATGATGATGATGATGATGTTGGTGAGATTGCAGGCGAGCTTAAGGTGAAGGCGGCAATGGAGACGGGATTGGAGGCGAGGGAGCAGAAGCTTGTGTTTGAGGGGAAGGAGAAGGAGGATGGAGAGAAGCTGCATATGGTTGGGGTGAAACCTTAGTGGCATTGGAGTTGCAGAGAAGGCAATGGAGATTAAGGCCTCTTTAGTTTAAATTATATTTTGATAATTATGCTTATGCTGTGCTTTTTTGTAGCAGTTTTTATATGAAATGAAGGGCAGAAAGCTTAAAAAAAAAATTGTAAATGTTTAATCAGTGTTATGTGGTGTTTAGTGAGGATTATGTGTAGATCATTAAGTGGCTGTAGTGCTCTGCTTTGCTTTTTACTGAAGTTAGTAAATAAGTTGGTTAATAGAAATGAGGTTTCATGTACCAACAACCTACGACTTCGAGTCTGTTTAGGGCAGCCGGGGCAGCCGCAACTTATTAAATAATTTGCTAATAAGCTGATTAAAAATAATCTACTGATAAGCTAGGTGTGGTAGCTATTACAAATTTTAATTTTTTTTTTAAAATGCCAGACCGCAGCCAGAAAGCTGTCACCGCACCTAGATAAGTGCGGTATGAAAACGCTGTTTTCAGCGTTTTGAAAATGCATAAGCTGCTAAAACGCAGTTTACCCAAAGGTGTATTTTTAAAACGCCACCACATCAAATAAACTACCCCAAACAGACGCGTTTTCGCCACCTAAATCTAAAATTTACATTTCAACCCTCCAAAATTTTATTTTCTTTCCAAACAATAATGTTCAGTCTATTATATTTGATGTTTTGAGTCATTGAAATGTAAAATTTTAAATTTTGGAGCTTAATCCTTTATATTTAAAATTTTAAATGGTTAATCTGTAAAAACCCTTTAAAAGGGAATATCTAAATTGTTTGATACTAAAGAGTAAAAACAAGTGGTTTAAATCCATCAACAAGTCAAGTGCAATATGAATTATGTTGTAAGTAATAAGAATGCAATCTTTATCCAAATTATTTATCTTTATTCTTTATCGTGGATATGAAAGAAATAGAAATAGGAAAGGAACCGAACGCTGAACGATCGACGAACGACGAATGACGAAAGCTCTCATTGGTTGGAGTGCCCAACAAATCTAATAGAGAAAAAACTAAATATTTTGATCTTTTAGATCAATATCTAAATCACTAATTTAAAAATCTAACCGAATCATTGAAAAATATTCGTATACTAATGTTTAACAAATTGCATTCTAATACATAAATTTTACTTTTTTACATTCATACCATCCACAATTTTCATTTCAAAACACCTTTTTAACATTTAAAAAGCGAAAAAAACACATTTTCATGCATAAATAAGTAGCATGTATGTAAAATTTGAAGTTTAGATGTTAGATTTGCAAAAAATACAGGAATTGAGTGTGTATATCTTCCAATAAAACAATTTTAAGACTGGTACAAGCATAAATTTTAAATTAAAATATAATTAATATGTAATTATCACTGACAAAGACAATGATTTGAACATTACTGACATATGTCAAGCCAGTACTAAGTATTAGTGTGTCACTAATGACTGGACAATTAACATTGCTTAACGAATATGAATGGAAACATGATTTGTTCATATGTTTCAATGTTATGCACAAATCTAAATTTTTAAATGTTGCTCTTTCTTTCAATCTTCAAGACCGGTAAACATTCATAATATCTTTCACAACCACAACTGGCAACTTTCATTAGCCATAACAATAACTCTTTAAATGAGCCATCATTTCCAACATTAATGATCCTAACAACATTCAACTTTGCAATCATTTGCTATACTTGAAGCCCCCAATGGCTTCTTTGTCTTTGAGTATCGTAGAGTCTTAAAAAATGTTTCCGAAAGCCTTGCACGATGATAATGATCGAGTTACCAATCAATTTTTTTTTATGTCAAAAAAAAAAATCCTTATTTAACATACAATCATCTTATCTTATAATAATGACATATGACATCACACATAAAATAATAATTATGTCTCTCTTTGCCACTTCAATGTTTATGATGATTGTAAGAAATTTTCTATCATGTATGTGTCATGCGAAAACAATGTGGAAGCGTAGAAATTCACACAATAACAATCAAACACAACGATTTATGTGGTTCGGCTTTGAATTGATTCGCCTAGGTTCATGAGAGGGAGATTTCACTAGCACTGGATGGAGAGAAAGAAAAATGACTTGGGAGTTACAATTCAATTCTTCTCACCATCATGCCCTTCCCTTAGTCTCTCATAAGCCCTATGTTCTTTTTTTATAGAAAAGGATTAGAGCATACAAGGAAATAAACCCAAAAAAGAAACAAATCAAATACAATAAAAGCTATAGATCTAACAATATGATGATCCTATAATGATATAACAGTGCAAAACCCATCTCAAAAAACTAATTGAAACATAACCCTTTATTTATGGTCATCATAATGTCATAACAATGCTATCATATTTATCTATGCCTGCATGTTTTATATTTTTGCTTTAATTATACCCGTAACTTTATAAATAAAGCGTCACCCCTCATGAGAGGGAAGGGAGAACTTGAGGTTCGAGAAAGAACTTGAAACTTTGAGAAGAAGTTGAAGTCCAGCATCACTCTTGTCACTGTCGATCACCGCCGACCACCACTTGTCAATCGTCGTCGCTCACCGTCAATCACATCAATTTCTTGTGACGAGATCATTTGCACATCAACGTTATTATTTAGAAGACTTTGTAACTCTTTTTTGTCTGCGAGATAAGTGATTATAACCGTAATCATTATTTTATAGTAGAACTCTTAAGTTGCGCCTGACCTCATATTTGTTCTCTTTACAGTTTTTCCACATAATTATTTATGGTAACACTACTAGTTATTTCTCTTCCCTGAGCGTGCGTTAAATCTTCTCACCACTCTAAAACGATAATATATCAACAACTCCTCACTAGATATGATACACAGATACCTTCTTAAAATGGTTGAACAGTGTCAACTGCGTTATCCTAGGCATGGACCATACTATTCACGTGGAGGGATTAAGCGACACGTGGTGAGAAATCATTTGACTGATATAAGGATTGGATGCGGCTGAAGAAAACGCACGGCGGGGAATCAACGCACCGGAGTGCACCGGACGCACCGTTTGACTCTCTTCTTCCCGCCAACCATGGCGATCTGCAGACGTGGAACCACTCCGCAACCTTTCTGCACGTGTCGTACTCACATGAACACCAGCCATTGAAATTAAGCACGAATGGCCGACACCCTCTCTCTCATCTGCGCTTTCCTTTCTTATCTTCCTCTCGTCGTTTTTCCTGATTTTTTCTAAAATTGAAAATTTTTGACAAAAATGCCTTACTGCAACGTTAGCAAGGAGAGATCGACGGAGGACAGCGGAATCGGGACGAATATTTTCTATAGGAGATTCGGTTGCGGTGGCACCAAAATCCTTCTCATTATCGGTAATCTTTATTGAAATTTCTTCGTTTGGTTGATTTTGATTGCAGTAGCGACGTTTGGAGGATAGCAATTAGGGATTTCGTTTTTCTGAAGAGGTGATATGGGTTGGGGGTTGCTGATTTTGTTAGGTCTAGCTGCAACGCACGAGGCTTGGGGTCCGCAGATTAAGGGATTGACGGGTGTTTGTGAGCCAAACGATGACGAGGAGGCGATGCCGGCTGAGACCACCGGGGATTGTTCCGACAAGATGGGGGAGGCCGCTGATGGGATCGAGGTGTGCTGCTTCGATAACCGCGGGATGGGCCGGAGCTCTATTCCTTTAAAGAAATCGGAGTACTCGTGAGATTCTCATCTTTGCCTCCCTCTTCTTTAATCTCATCACTGCAAGGGAATGAGATTTCCTTAGATCATTTGTTAAGATGTTGGAAATTGATTCACTGTTATGAATGGTTTGCAGAACGGATATCATGGCCAGGGATGCCTTGGCTTTGCTGGACCATCTGGGATGGAAGAAAGCTCATGTTTTCGGTCACTCAATGGGTGAGTTGATTCTTTTTTCTCTAATTTTCCTTTTTCCATTTTACTTTTGGTGATAATTAATTTCAATTAATCGAGATTTGGCTACAAAATAGGTTTTGGTATAATTTGATTGGAGTACTTTGGCACAGTACGATTTTGCTTTGTTTTCTTCCCTTTTTTTTCGTTTTTAGTCAAAAATGAATGTTGAATTTTCTTTATGATATTGGAAAACAGGTGCTATGATAGCTTGCAAGTTGGCAGCAATGGCGCCTGAAAGATTGCTTTCATTGGCTTTGCTTAATGCAACAGGTGGAGGGTATGAGTGCTTTCCAAAGGTATATTTTTATGAAAGAGAGGACTTGATTGCAAATTTGCACATGGAAATTTGCATCTTTGTTTCATATGTGACTGTAAATTAGGTTTTTTTATAATGTTGACTTATGATGGCTCTGAGAACTAGCTAGTTTTATATTGATAAAGTGGAGAATGATCGATGGATGTGCTAGAAACCCCTGAATTATTGCTTAGATGTTTGTTCTGCACTTGTAGTTTTTTAAGGTTGTGGTGACAAGATGAGAATACAATATTTACATATCTAACACCTCAACTTCAAATTTTACATACATAACACTCAAATCTTTATCATCACGTGAAAAATAACAACATCACTAACATTTTAAAAAAGAAACACACCTTTTTCATTCATATATTTTTAATATCAAACTGCTAAAAATATAGATATCGAACTTTAGATGTTAGATATGTAAATACATAAGAATTTTGTGTTAGCATTTAAATTTCCTTGATATTTTTTCTTTTGAAAAAATATATGCAGGATCGTTGACACTTATTAAATTTATATTTTCTTTCAAGAAAACATATGACTTGACTTCTAGAGCTCTATATTTTGTTCAAGCTGATTACAAATATTGTGTTTTACTCCTCTTCTAACAGGTTGACCGTAAGATTATATCCATAGTATTTCGTTTCCTAAGAGCAAGGACTCCACAGGAGAGAGCTGCTGTTGACCTGGAAATGCATTATACCAAGGCAACTATACGTCAATTTCTGTTAAATTCTTTCCAAAATTTAAATACAAGAACAAATTTTTACTCAAAAAAGAGATTGTCTGATAAACTCTTAATGCAAAAATGTATCAAAAGTGCAAAACATATGCTCCAAATTTGTGACATTTTATGAAACTAAATGATGTTTATGTAAAAGTTGCATGACAATTATTTTTCTTGAGAAAGCATTTAAAGTTTTGATAAAACTTCCACTTGTTTTGAGTATAGGTTTTGCACTTGCATTAGGAGATAGTGATGAGATATTGTTTCCCCTTTCCATTTGCATAATTTTTCTTAATTGAGGGAATAAAAATCTCAAATTTGGTCCTTCCGCAGGAGTATCTTGATGAATGTGTTGGATTAAGTACAAGAAGAAAAGTTCTTCATCAAGTAAGGGATTTATAATCTTTTTTTATAAAGATCTCAATTCCAAGCTTTTTTTGCCTTTTTATCTGAAAAATCATTCAGATTAAAACCTGAGTTGGAATGTTCTAATTGCCTGAATTTTCTTTTCGAACAAATTACCTGTTACATGTTCATCTCTGAGCTTTTCAGGGCATTATAGAGGATAATGCATGCACAGTTAACTTCACAGGCTTGTGTGTTAACGTTATTTTTTTAACCCCAATTTGATCAGAAATATGTTGAGGCAATATCATCATCTGGAATGCAATGTAAGAAAGGGTTCGAGGGGCAAGTTCATGCATGCTGGAATCACAAATTGACATCCAAAGAGCTTGATGCAATTCGTTCCGCGGGGTTCCTGATATTGGTCATCCATGGCAGGTTACTATGTGGGGTATTTACGTGCATACCCACCCAATTACTACGTATTTACATATCTAGCATCTACACTTTATTTTTTGCATTAATATTTTTCATATCACATAAAAATTGCCGTCATTTTAACTTTTGAGAAGTGAAGGTTACTTTTCATGCATAGTTAAGGTGGCATGCATGTAAAAATTGAAGTTTAGCTGTTAGATATGTAAATACATGAGATTTGAGTGGTATGTATGTAAATCTTCCTACTCTCTCTCTCCCTCTCTCTGCCTCTCTGTCTGCTCTGTGTTTGTGCGTGCTAAAGGTCGATAGGAAATCAATCTGTTTTACTTAATTTTTGTAGGCATGATGTTATTGCCCAGCTATATCATGCAAGGAAACTTGCAGAGAAGCTTCAACCAGCTGCAAGAATGGTAGAACTCCATGGTGGTCATTTAGTGAGCCATGAAAGACCAGAAGAGGTATGATTTGACCTTGCATCAGGTTGGAGCCAACCGGTCCGGTCTCAAATTCTTTTTCTTGCTGGATTGTCTGCATCATCGATCAAAAAGCACAATTGCCTGTTTTTTATTAAGAACAACACTTTTTTTTTCTTGGGAATTAAGGAAGAGATTGAAAAAACAAATGGGTTGAAAATTTGACCGTTTCTTTCGAATGGTCAGAAGCTGGAAATGTATTTGAATCTATTTACACGCCAAATATCTGAGCTTTTTTGAACATGCAGGTCAATGCAGCTTTAATGGAGTTGATAGAAGCAACTAAAACAAAGATCTTAATAGAAGAATGGTCAAATTTACCCATAGCTGAATCCGTTAAATGCGGTACTGAAAATCCTTACGTGCATAACCTTCTATTCTTATATATTTACACATATGAACACCTAAACTTCAATTTTACTTATAAGTCATCTTACCTATGTGCGAAAGGTTGTATTTCACTTTTTACAAGTTCAAATAGTTGTATTGTTGACGTGATACAAAAGATTAAAGTGGTATATGCTATGTGTTAGATATGTAAATACATAAGAATGGTTGGTATTTATGTAAATGCCCCTAGATGCTTTCAATCATTTTCCTCCCAGTAAAACTTATCTCACATTTTGAACAGGGTGGCATGTTTTGAGGAGGCCTATGATCATCTTGAACTTCATCACCCCAAATAGAGAAAGCTATCTACAAACCACCTATAACTTTATGGAAAAGCTGCAACTCAGCTTCCTCTATGTTTTAGGAATTTTTATAATGGGATTTAATCATATGAGAAATGCTTTCAGCATATTATTGAAGCCAGTCAGGGTTTCAGTGTCGGATTAATGGAGATAAAGGCGAAAATCTCCTGCTTGTATAAGGTAACATCAAATGAGTTATGTACTCCCTGTAATTCTAATAAGCTTTATAATCACTCATTAGTGGTTTCAGTGTCGGATTAATGGAGATAAAGGCTAAAATCTCCTGCTTGTATAAGGTAACATCAAATGAGTTATATATGTACTCCCTGTAATTGCTTCTATTTTAGGAAGAAGTGACGCATAAAGAAGAATCATTTTGTTAATATTGCAATTTCTTTTGTTATAAATTAATGATTTTAAAATTCTAGATGCAAGAGCAATAGATATTAGTCTTGGCTTATTATAATGATGTGTTCTAATATAGATATATTTTCTACATAAAAGCCTAATTTTGTTTAACCATGCCATTGTGGGGATATAATTCCTTACATTTGTCATGACTGTGATTGCATGCTTATGCATTACTATTAATATTGTTGAATTTTGATTATTTTGCAGGTCTTATATATGTATACTAAGGACAGCAAAAGGGACTTATTATATTATATCGACATTTGTTTCCTACTTTTTACGGGGAAGAACGTCTTTATATTATATGGATGTAATAATTAGGGTTGTCAAAATGGCTCGTTGTTCGTGAACAGCTCGTGTTCGGCTTGTTAAGAAGCTTGTGTTCGGCTCGTAACACCTCGTGCTCGGCCGGTTCCCTAATTGAACGAGCCGAACACGAACAACATGAACAAAGATTTGTTCGTGTTCGGCTCGTTTTGGCTCGAAATACTACTATTCAATTATATATATATATATTTGATGAGTAGAATTTTTAAAAAAAGTAATTGACTATAAGGCTACAAAAGTTTATAATCAATTAAAAGTATTAAATTATTAAATCAGATTCAAATGATGTTTTAAATTTTGCCTCAATCCTTAACATCTTATCGCTACGTGATTAGAGTTGTCAAAATGACTCTTTGTTCTTGAACGGCTCGTGTTCGGCTAGTTAAGCAAATCAGCCGAGCACGAACACATTTTTTGAGCTCAAAATATAAACGAGCCGAACACGAGCCAGCCTCATTTACACCCCTAGCAAAATTTAATTGCAAAATCATACATGATTTTCTGGACTTTACCCAATAAACTATTTAGAACTCACTTTATCTTCTCATTTCTTGATGGCCATGCTGTCTTAATGGGCACCAATGCAATATATTATTTTTTGTTGTGATTATGAGAAGGTTAGTTCTTGAAATTTCTGATGAGAGGAAGGGGAAAATATCAAAACACCACCCAATCATTTTAGTTGCAACTCTCTAACATAATAACAAAAATTACATAGTACAAATGAAAAGCTTACAGAACTAATCTCAGCCAGTAATTAGTGTTTTGTATATAGAAATTGAAGTATAGCTGTTAGATATGTAAATGTATAGGGATCGAGTGGCACGCATGTAAATCTTTCTATTAAAATTAAAGCTTACAGAACTAATCTCAGCCATTGATTTGAACAGAAAAGGTACTTCCATTCACCTCAAACTGATTGGGAGAATTCCTTAAGAAAAAGGGAAATTTCTGTACATACCACACAATTTTTAATTACATTTCTAACACCTAAAGTTTGATATTGACATGTTTGTAAATTTGATGTTAAGAAAAAATACATCGAGCATGAAGAGGTTCGAAGCTAGAGATCAACAGATTGACGTCAGGCATATATAAAACTGTGTTTTCACGCGTCTATTTATAGAAGTTATGAATTGAAACTCATTTAGGAAAATTTACATAAATACCACTCAACTTCTATGTAATTACATATTTAACAACTAAACTTCAATTTTTACATATATGTCATATTACTTATGCATGAAAATATGTGTTTCATCTTTTGAGAGTTAAAATGGTTAAATTTTTTATGTGATATGAAATATTTGGGTGGTGTAAATATAAAAGTCCATGGAGTAAAGTACCAAAATAGTTTCTGA